GGGGGAATGAAGCACGTCCTGTGACTCCACGGGGAGAGGACTATGGAAGCTCGTGCCTGGTTTCCCCATACTTGGCCTTTTTCCTGCGCTCATCTTGCTCTGTGTCCCTTGCTATAATAAATCTCAGCTGAGAGTATGACTATGTGCTGAGCCTTGTGATTCCTCAGGAATCACCAAATCTAGAGGTGGTCTTGGGGACCCCAACCTAGGTGTCTTCAGAGTAGAATGGGAAAAGATGCTTGTATTGCTATGTGAGTACAAAATCCTTTTAGATTTTTATGATTTATTTCTCTAAACATTGCCCACACCCAATTCCAGAGCCATTTTCCTTTTCATGATTTACCCTACCAAGGCTGTCCAAGTTGGGTGAAAATCTGTTTTCACCCCTATTTAGTCAGTTTGTGTAACACGAAATTATAATAGCAAGTGAACCAGCATAAGCAGGTTTGAAAACAAAATCCACTCTTGGAAGCCCCAGCCTCTCCTCCTGCCTCCTGATGAGGGCAGACACGGGAAAGGGTGTTAGCTGTCAGTTATGAGTGTCCAGCATGGTGGGCACAGGAAGGACACGTTATGGTGGGAAAGAGGGTGTCAATGGCCCAGTGAGTCAGGAGACCCTCTGACCTCTCTATTCCCTTGATCATCCTGAGAGAGGGGTCATCCTGGAAACTAGCCAGAACCCATTTTTCCGGCCCACCAAGGATCCTGTAAGACAAATTCCTTCTCTAACTCCCCAGTGCTTACACTATGGCATGGTGTGACATTTGCATCCTCACTGTTATGGATTGAGTTGTGTCCCAAAAATATGTGTTGGAATCCTAATCCCTATAGGATCACTATAAGTCGGAATCGACTCAATGGCAGTGGGTTTGGTTTGGTTTAGGTTTATACCTGTGGATGTGATCCCACTTAGGAATAGAGTTTTCTTTGTTATGTTAATGAGGTCAAATCAGTATAGGGTGTGTCCTAAACCTAATCACATCTGAGTTTTTAAAAAAAAGAGCATATTAGACACAGAAGTGAGCACAAATGGGGGAAGACAGATATCATAGGAGGTTCACCAAGAACCAAGGAACATCCAGGGCTACCGACAAGGAAGGAATCAACACGGTGAGACTCTGATTTGGACTCTCAGCTCCAGAGCTGTGAGACACTGAATTTCTGTTCTTTAAAGCTACCACTGTGGTATTTGTGTTACAGCAGCGGTAGGAGTCTAAGACACCTGCCAGCCCACCTGCTCTGCCTGCCCTGTGTCTGGCAAGCAGCCTTACTCTTTCTTAAGGAGTCCCCCTCCGCTGTCTCTGTCCGTGCCTATTCTCTTGGCCTTGTTTGGGCTAGAACCAGAAGTCTCTTCTACTCTATGTTACTTTTTATTTATTTATTTATTTTTACTTTCTGAGAGATCTTCTCAGTGTAACCTCTCAAATCTTTCATGGAAGTCCTCTTCGTGTTCTCTGGTGGCCACTTTCCAAGGTGTTCTGTGGTTCTACGCAGCATTCAGCACTGCCTCAAATCTCCCAGAGGACCATGATTGAGGGTTTGTCTGTTCTTTTCCATTCCCCATCACAGTGTCAGATCCTCCTGAGACATCTGGTCTCCATGTGGACATGTGGTTCCTCATTTTCTTGCTGGAGGCCCTCCTCGAACCCCTCGGCCATCTGTTCACAGCTGAGTGGGGGCTTTAGGGGGCAGGAGGGCTGAGATCACCACCTGGAAGGTTTGCTGCAGTAGGGAGGTGAGAGCCCCACATGGGGACCAGGTTGACAGGGCCTCAAGGCCTTGGACTGTCTTTGGCTTTGCAGGGCTCTGAGTAGAGGAGGGGGCGGGTCTGACTCCAGTGTCACAAGGGTCTCGCTGGCTCCTGGCTGAGAGGAGATGGAAGTAGGGCAGAGCCGAGGCAGGGAGGACAGCATGAGTCCCTGAGGATCCCAAGACAGAGAGGATGGTGACTGGGAACACAGTGGTGGCTGGGAAGGTAGACAGGGTGGCTGGATTTGGGAGATAGGTGGAAGGCGGAGTCAACGGGAGTTCCTGACAGATCAGACATGGGTATGAGAGGGAGGGGAGAAGGAGCGTGCCTCCGACATTCTGGCCTAAGCCCCTGGGAAGCAGGGGTGCCCTCACAGGAGACCAGGCAGGGGTCCAGGTCTTGCACGAGGGGTTTGAACTGCCTGGGAGACATCCCAGCAGAATGCTGGGGAGAAGCAGGGGCACACGCCTGGATCTAGGAGGGGTACGTGTAGAAGTGGTCAGTGTAGAAGGTACCTGCAGTCCCAAGTCCAGATGAGGCTGCCACAGAGGGAGACAAGAAAACAAGCGGGCACCCCCAAGAAGGATCCGCAAAGGGGAGGAGAAGGGCCTGGGGGGTGGAAGTGAGGGGACAGGGGTCCTGCAAGTCAAGTGGACAAAGACCAGTGAGGAGAAAGTGACCACCGCATCAGATGGCACTGAGGCTTTGACAATCTCCACGCCTCACGGTTCCTTCAGAGGCCCCCAAAGAAGAGGAGGATTTGTGTGTAATTCACCATCTGTACCAGCTAATGTTCCCCTTCCGAATCCTTCTCACTGAGCAAATCTCACTGTGACACACTCTTGCTAAAAGCCGTCAGCGGTTCCACCCCGAGAAGTGGCCACTGAGTTCCACAGCCCCATACAGCCTGGTGCCCTCACTCCCACGCCCACTGCTCCCCACACCTGGACCCCCCAACCCGCTCTGATGGCCCCCTCGCAGCCCCAGCTGCCTTGTGCTTCGGGGCCTGGCGAGGCCCTCCGCCCACGCCCCGTAACCACCTTTCGTGGCTGTTGTCGCTGTGTGTCATCCAGTCGATTTCGACTCCGGGCAACCCCACGTGACGGAGTAGAACTGCCCCATGGGGTTTTCTTGGCTGTAATCTTTACAGAAGCAGATCGCCCGGTCTTTCTCCTGCACAGCTGCTGGGGAGGTTCCAACTGCCAACCTTCCGATTAGCAGCCGAGAACTTAACCGTTGTGCCACCAGGGTTCCTTCGCCACCTTTAAGTACTCACTTAAAGTAATAATTTATCATCAACACTATCATGTTGAAAAAATAAAATGTACATGAGCCAGAGAGGGTATAAAGGGAGAACAGCCCCCTCCACACAGGAAACCGCTATGAACAGCTTCCCACCTGTCGTTCTTTTTCACAGATGGCACCTGAGGGCAGACACCCTTCGATTCCCTAGAAGCATCCTCCCCCCACGGGGAAACCCCTCTTTCCGTGGAGTCCCCTCCCATCAGGTAGGCTTCCTTCTCCAGGCTTCACGGCTACCCTGGCACCTGCCACCCTGGGCAGGAACTTCAGCTAACTGGGCCTCCTGGGAGCTGGAACTCGTCCCAGGCCCACAGAGGCCTATTTCAGAGGGAGCCTAAGACTTCTGGTCCGAACCTCAGCACAGACACATGGGCTTCACTGAATTGCTCGAAGCCTCGGGGGCCCAAAAGAAAGAGGAGCCCAGAGCCCAGGCCGGCCAGAAAAGCCCTCGGGGCCGCAGACACAGTAGTCCTGATGCTGTGAGTCCCACCGGAGCGGCACCTGGGGGGCTGCCTCTGGGCACGGGGAGCAGGGCAGGGTCTGGATCCAGCCTGGGCTGTGGCCGAGCTCGGCCACTTCGCAGTGGGCATATGAGGCAAGACCCTTGTGCAGGCAGTGGCAAGCTCCACACACCCCCACCAGGTGGGCACACCCAGCCCCCTCCTCATGGGGTGGCAAAAGCCCAGCAAGACCTCGTGGGGAGAATACACCCAGAACTTTCCGGGGCTTTGCGAAAGACCCGTGATTGTCACTTGACAAAAATATGTATGAGATGCTCCCATGCTGGTAGAGCCTAGTGAAGGCTTTGTAAACTGGGAAGAAAATGTTGTGGCTGAAGGTATTTTTAGCAGCGGCTCCCAGGGCCATGGCTGAATTATGCAGCAGAAGCGTGGGGAGCATGAGTCAGCAGAGAATGGGAGGCTGATGGGCCGTGCTGCGGTCCCACTAGTCTCGGGCAGAGCGCGCCTCAGCAGACTCAGGCCCTTCCCACCCTGGCGGCTTCCAGGCCCAGGCACCTGCTGGCGTCTCACTGCCCCAGCTCCCTCCGACTTCTGTTTGCCAAGCATACCCTGCACCCCTGGCGACTTCTAATGTGCCTCGAGACCCCACCCTGTCCTGCTCAAAGCTGTCCCCTTCTCCCGTGTCTTGTTTCACCAACCAGACTGAACTGATCCTGTTATGGATTGAATTGTGCCCCCCAAAGATGTGTTCGAGTCCTGTCCCCTGTACCTGTGAACGTGACCTTGTCTGGAAACAGGGCCTTTGAAGATGTTGTCAGTTAGGTTAACAAGAGGTCATACTGGAGTAAGGTGAGTCCTAATGCTACATGACCCCCAAAAAAACAAACCCATTGCTGTCCAGTCGATTCTGACTAATAATGACCCTATAGGACAGAGTAGAACTATCCCATGGGGTTTCCAAGGAGCGGCTGGTGGATTCGAACTGCTGACCTTTGGGTTAGCAGCCGAGTTCTTAACCACTTCACCACCAATCCTATATGACAGGCGTCCTCATAAAAGAAGAGAAGAGACACAGAGGAGAGACAGCCATGTGAAGACAGAGGCAGAGACTGGAGTGATGCTGCCCCAAGCCAAGGAACGCCTGGGGCCACCAGAAGCTGGGAGAGGCAAGGGAGGATCCTTCTCGAGCACCTTCGCGGGTGTGTGGCCTTGCTGATGCCCTGAATTCAGACTTCTGGCCTTCAGAACCGACAAACTATGCATTTCTGTTCTCATAGGCTGCCCAATTTGCGGCACTTGGCTGTGGCAGCCCCAGAGACCAAGAGGAGCTGAGAGCGGGGCCACACCTCTGCCTTATGCCCCACAGGCTGGCCTAGGACGACCCCGTAGGCCCACCTGGGAGGCGAGCAGAGAAGGCGGGCCCAGTCCCTGCGATGCCCGCCCAGAACGGAGGAGCTTCTACCAGGGACCCCGCCCAAGCCGCTCACCTGGCAGGAGCGAAACTGGCTAACCAGCAGTGTGCACCTCTGCGGGTCCTTCCGCCCGTCCAGGCTGTCCAGCTCCGCCGCCACCTGGTTCAGCTCCTCGTCGGCGTAGTAGAACTGGGCGAGCAGCTGCGGGTCTGACCTCTGCAAGGGAGACACGGAGGTGACAGTGGCCGTGCTGCCCTGTCAGCCCCACCCCACAGGCATCGACCACCTGCCCCGCCCCCATAGGCCCCACCCTTCTGTGGACCTCGCCCCTGCCTGCCCTACCCTCTGTCAGCCTCCTCCTGAAGACCCCTTCTCCGCAGGCCCTGCCTTTCTACAGGCCCCACCCCTGCACGCCCAACCCCTCTACCCGGCCCGCCCCACAGGCACCACCCCTCTGGCCTCACCCTCCAACAGCTCCGCTCCTCAGGACTACCTGGTTCTTTTCAGGTCCCACCCCTTGCCAGCCCGCCCCCACTGACCCTGTAGGCGTCACCCCTCTGCGAGGCTCACCCCACAGGCCCTGCCCACCATAGGCCCGGCCCGTCGGCGTGCCCCACCCCATTGGTCCTGCCCGCCTTTGGCCCAACCCGCAGCTGGCCCCACCCCTCTGGCCCCACCCCTCCGCCTGTTCCACCCCAAAGGCGCTGCCCCTTCACCAGCCTGCCCCTGAGGCCCTGCCCCCACTAGCCCTGACCCTCTAGCCAGCACATCTCCCAACGGCCAGCCCCCTACCGCAGTGGTGTCACTAGGGTTGGCGTCACCCACCCCGTGGACCTCCTCCCGTCCCAGACCATACAGAGTCCTTACTGATGTTTCATTATCAATTTTAATTACAGAATAATGATGTATGCGAAATATAGGTGTAAACTGCCTAAATGTAATATTTCTTAGATTATAAGAATATTAACAAAATTGTTTTGTAAAATCTTTCTACATTGAATTACAACATTATTAGTTACATTATCGGTAACTGAACAGAAGCCTTTTTGTATTTTTCTCCTTTTCCTTTATTACTTCATTCTCAAAAGTTATTGATATAGGTTCATAAATACTAATTACAATATTGTAGCTGAAACACCAGAAAATCTGACAAAATCAACAACCATAAAAGCACCAGTAGCAAGAAAACAACAGCCTGTGCTTGCAGGGTGTTCAGACGAAACCAGTGATCTTAAGTGTCATTGTAATTGAGTAATAGTGACAGCTCTGACCGGAGTACATTAGGAGGTTCAAAAAGTAAATCAGCATCGTGTTTTAGCTTTGTAGGTATACTGATACATATAAACTAGGTTTACGAGAAATGTTTTTATTGTTATAACTAACTACAAGGATATTTTTTATAAAAAATAAATTTCTGAGGAAACACTGCATAAAATTTTTATAGACAGTCATTCTGGTTTCACCCATTCTGACAGTGTCACCCGGTGTGGTCCGCACTCCCATGCCCCCCCCCCCAGTGACCCTGCTTCCCCACAGGCACCCCTCTCTGGCGCCACCCTCCACTCTGTCGTCCGCTGGTCTCGCCCCTACAGGCCTCATCCCCATTGGCTCCACCCACCACAGATCCCATCTGCCACTGGGCCACCCCCTCTGCAGGCCCTGCCCCACTGACCCCACCCACCCCACTAGTCCCGCCCACCACGGGCCCGGCTCCACAGGCCCCAGCCACAGAGGTCCCCTTTCTCCACAAGCCCCACCTGCAACCCTTTCCACCCCTGTGGCCCCACCCTCTGCAAGCTCCAGCCCAAAGGCCCAGCCCCATCACTAGCACACCCCTGAGGTCCTGCCCTCATCAGTACCCCCTCCAGTCCGCTCATCTCCTCCTATGGCCCCACCCCCCACTGGTCACACCCCTTCAATGGCCCTGCACCACCACAGGCCCCGCCCCCATCAGCCCTGCCCTCCACCGGCCGCGCCCCTCTGTCGCCCCACACTGCAGGCAGGTGGAGGGAGAAGCCTCAGGTGTGACCTTGTTCCAGGGCCCCCTGCTAGCTTGCCGGGAGTCACCACTGGCACCACTCCTTGGTTCCGGGCTTCTAGGTCTGTGTCACCAGGGAGGAAAGGGTCTCTGCAGGAAAATCAGGCATGCTCCCTCCACGCGCCGACACCAGGTCCTCAAATGCCCCATCCCTGGAGGACCCACAGAAACGGAGCCTCAGGACCAGGAAATCACTTCTAAAAAATGTGTTTTTATTCTTAAAACTAAAATAAAGCCATGAACGAAGGTGCCCAGAGTGACATTTAACATGAATGAAGAGTCATTGATGGTGCTATTCCCCACTTTCTAGAAACTTCTCAGTCCTCTCACCCTGGGTTCTGTAATGCCAGGAAATCTCGGTGGGTCTGGACCTCCCATCAAACACGAGGGATTTCCCAGTCTGGATCTTGAAGAGTGTCTATCACACTTAGGACAAAATCCAGGCTCCCTGCGGGCCAGAATCAGACCCGCTGACTGCCCAACCCCACTCCTCTGGGCCTGCGCCGCCCTGCCGGCCTTCTCAGCCTCCTGGCCTTCTCACCTTCTCCTCTTCTCATCCTACACACTCAGCAGCTCACTGAGCCCCAGGGCCTTTGCACCTGCGGTTCCTTCCACCTAGCATGTGACTGTCAGAGGTGCAAATGGCTTGTTCCCTGGATCTGGTTTCAAGGACGCGAAAAGTGACAAAGCCCTGGAACATATTTTTATAAAGATGTTCTTCATGATCATGCAGAGAGAGACAAAGGGGAAGCAAACATACCAAATCACGCTAGCATTAAAATTCACTGGTACTCAAGCACGACAGCACAAAAGCCAACACTTGACCTACTCTCTTTATCCGACCTAAGAATCCGTGCATAGTTGTTTATAAACTATATTTTGTTCAATATAACATAGACTTATTTTCATAGTTTCCCTTTTTCTTGCAATTTGCTTCCCCATCAAACCTGTGGTCTCCAATCACACTAACACTCAGCTCTTACTCCATTAAGTGGCCTTGGCCCAGGGTCACGGTTCCTTGGCTGTTGGGTTCTTGGCTACTCTGGTCATGGACTGCCCATCAGGGCCTGACTCTCCTGATTAGCTTGAGATGATGGCCCAGGCCTTGAGGTGGGGAGAGGAAACCCCAAAGGCGCTGAGCAGCCCCCACATGGGGCTGCCCAGCTCCCAAGACTTTCCAGAGCCGTGGCTGTGCTACCCTCATGTCTTCTAGTAACCAGGTGGCTCAGGACCTGACCAGGCCACTCATGGTGCTTAGTTGTCCTGGACCCACTGACTAGCCCAAGGAGTGGGCATGTGACCCAGGGCATGAGAATCCTTCCCTAGGACTTTTCACATGAGAGCCGAGAAGAGAAGAGCCTCTGCTCTCTGGTCACATTGCTGCTCATAGGTAAGCCTGGGAGATGCTGGAGGCCCCCCTGAACTGTGGAGATCCCTGTCTTCAGGGGAAGAGAATCTGGCCACTGTTCATCCATCCACCCAATCATCCATCCATTCACCCATGCATCCATCACCCACCATCAATCCATCCACCCATCCATCATCCACCCATCCTTCCTTCTCTTCATCCATCCATCCACTCATCCATCTATCCATACCCACCCACTGTTCCCATCAATCCATACCATCTATCCATCATCCATTCACCCTTCCTTCTATCCATCCATCCATCCATCCAACAGATGCCACCTGATCACCCGTCTCTGCCAGGTGCTGGTCTAGACTGGGGCCAGCAGGAATAAGACAGATCAAGACCCCTGCCCAGTGGGCTGGTGTCCCAGCAGATGTCAAGAGACCAGGGCTTTGAACTGGTTCATTCTGGTTTGAACCTCTGCTGAGAATCTGTGTTTCTAACAAGATCCCAGGAAGTTATACATAAGAATCGCCTGGGGATCCTATTAAAATGTAGATTCTGATTTAGTATATCTGGGGTAGAAATGCATATTCTCAGCAGGGAACTTGTTAGAAATGCAAATTCTCAGCTGGGGTTCGAACCAGAATGAACTGGTTTGTAGCCATGCAGGAGACAGGGAAATGAGAGGAGGTAGCACCCTGCTGCCTTTCCTACCCTCCCACCAGCATCTCTGCAGGTCCTGGCATCTCGTGCCTGCCCTGGTCCTGGGAGCTGACACATCCCCTCCACCAGCTCGGCCTACTCACCAAGGTTCCTATCACTCCCCGGAGGGAAGGTTGCCAGTGGATGACCCCAAGACTGGGGCCAGGGGAAGGGAGACAGGCCTTTTCACCTCTTTCTTGCTCTACTGACTGGAAGGACCAGGGGAAAGGATGCCAGAGACAGCTCCCCCGGCCCTTCCCCATGGGCAAAGCCTCAGGGAGGGTGCGTCTCCCAGGCCTCCAGGCCATTGGCTTACAGAACGGAACCCAGACCTTGTCCCTTTGCTTCTCAGACACGACCCCAGAATTCTGACCAGCCCCTAGCCGGCCCCAGGCGGACACCCCTCACCCCAAGGAAGGAGAGGGAGAGTGACAGACAGCTCCTTGTTCCCAGTGGGCACAGCCCCCACCCACCGGGACCTTCCTGCCACTCCCACTGCAGAGGAGGAGGCATGCCCCTCCTCGGGGAGGGGACCAAGGCCACCTGCCTAGCAGACACATGCCAGATGCTGCTCTGCACAGGCTCCCTCAGGGACTTGACCCCTTTACCAGAGCCCACTGGCTGCCTCGGGCCCCCAAACCCACCAGGTCCCCTCAGAACCTTGGGTTTGGGAGGGCGAGGAGGCCAGCGGAGGGAGGCCTGTTCCGGTAACAATGTCTCTCTCCAACTAGAGCAAAGCCCACGCGGTCATACCGGCCCGACAGGCAGCAGGAGCCCTTTCCGGGGCCACGGAGTTGCCATCTGGCCAACTAATGGGCCAAGTGCAAATTTAGGGCACCGCATGGACAACGATGCCTCCAGGAGGCGAGATCTTGGCCCCAAAAAGGCAGGGGGGGGGCATGCCCAAGCCTTTCCAGAGAAAAACTCAGAAATTATTCTCTGCCCCGCACGATAAAGCTCCCCAGATATAAACAGACCCCAGTCCAAACATCCACGCCAAATGCCCAGGTGAGCTGTGGGCCCACACTGCTGTGGGCTCCATCACCGTGGTTGGCTGAGGCCGGAGAAAGCGTGTACAGTGATGAAGGAAGGTTCAGGAGAGGTTAACAGTGGCCAT